CATCTCCATCTCCATCTCCATCTCCATCTCCATCTCCATCATCTCCCCTCTTTCAGTGTCCAACCCTTCCCCCTCCTCCCATGGCTCCATTCCTGGATCAAGAGCCATGGGAGAGCGGAGCAGTGGTGGGTCTTGGAGAAACTGGGGGCACTGTGTGTTTGAGAAGGTCATCCTTACCATCTGGTGGGCACTCCTCGGTGTGGCAGGACTGGTACTTGGCTCGCTGGCCCTCGCAGTACCGGCCACCGTGCTGGGGCTTGGGGCTGTCGCAGTGGCGGTAGGAGAACTGCACGCCGCCGCCGCAGGTCCTGGAGCAGGAGCCCCAGGGGCTCCAGGGACCCCATCCACCATCCACCGCCGGCTGCAAGAAGCCACCAGAAGCTGCTAGATCCATCCCCAAAGCTCAGCCATCCCCAGCTGCTGGCTCCCAGGGCTACCAAAAGTCTGGAGCATCCCCCAAAACCTCCCCCTCCATCTCCCATCCCTGCATCTCCAGCCGGGGCCCTGGTCCAGCAAAGCACTTAAGCACATACTTCACATGGAGTTCTTGCTGACTTCCACCCGTCCTGCTCATGTGCTTAAAGTTAAGCTTGGGCTTAAGGCACTTTGCTGGTGGGGTCAGAGATCACCACTGGTTCCCCCAACAAAAAAAAAAAGAGAGGGTTTTAATTGCAGAACTGCAGCTGCTTGTCCTGCTGCAGACCAGCCTGAGCATCCCAGGAAGGCACGGCATCATTTGCCTTCAGATTTACAAAAGGTGCTCCTTCTTGAAGGAGAAATATCCAGGAAAAAAATGATAATACAAAAACAGGCAAATCCAAAGCTAGTCCAGGGCTCAGAGGTTTGGGAATTCCAACGGGTCTCCCCAATTCTCCTCCACCTTCCTTCCCTGGGGCTTCAGGGCCTTCAGATTTACAAAAGCTGCTCCTTCTTGAAGGAGAAATATCCAGGAAAAAAATGATAATACAAAAACAGGCAAATCCAAAGCTAGTCCAGGGCTCAGAGGTTTGGGAATTCCAACGGGTCTCCCCAATTCTCCTCCACCTTCCTTCCCTGGGGCTTCAGGGCCTTCAGATTTACAAAAGGTGCTCCTTCTCGAAGGAGAAATATCCAGAAAAAAAAAAAAAAGCCCCAAAACCAGGCAAATCCAAAGCTATTCCAGGGGTCAGAAGTTTGGGAATTCCAAAGGGTCTCCCCAATTCTCCTCCACCTTCCTTACCTGGGGCTTCAGGTCATCCTGTGGCAGGCAGCGGCCATCCCAGCAGAGCCCCCCAGTTTTGCAAGGGGTGCCGTCAGCCCAGGGCAAGCTGCCGTTCTTGGTGTGGCAGAGGGGCTCCCCCTTGCCCGTCCGGCACCAAAGCTGGGAGCAGATGTCCTCCTCGGTGGTGTTGGGGCAGTGCTGGAAGTCCTTGCCGAAGATCTGCTGGCATTGCTGGTCCAGGCTGTAGAGGGCTCCCCGGCCGGGCAGCTCGGCGGGCAGGGAGAGGGGCTCGGCTGGGGCATCGAGCAAGCAGTCACCTGGGCAAGGATGGGAGATAGGATGGAGATACATCAAGGTTGGAGACCCATCAAGGCTCGACACCATGGGTTGCACCCAGCAGGGCACCCCAAACCTCTCTCTGTGGTCCATTTTCATAGCATCTTACAATCATAGAATGGTTTGGGTTGGAAGGGACCTTAAAGACCATGCAGTTCCACCCCTGGACACCTCCCACCAGCCCAGGTTGCTCCAAGCCCCCTCCAACTTGGCATTGAATCCCTCTAGGGATGGGGCAGCCACAGCTTCTCGGGGCAACCTGGGCCAGGCTCTCACCACAAAGTGAGTTGTGAGTTCTCAGCAAAGAAGTTCTTCCCCACATCTCATCTCCATCTCCCCTCTTTCAGTGTCCAACCCTTCCCCTTCATCCTATGGCTCCCCTCCCTCATCCAGAGTCCCTCCCCAGCTTTCCTGGAGCCCCTTGAGGGACTGGAAGGTCTCCATGGAACCTTCTCTTCTCCAGGCTGAACCCCCCCAACTCTCTCAGCCTGTCCTCCAGCCCTCCCAGCATCTCCGTGGCCTCCTCTGATCGCGCTCCAACAGGTCCACGTCCTTCCTGCGCTGATTTGAAGCCCCTTCATCCCACACAACCCCTCAAGAGCCGGAGAAATTAAGGAAAAACCCATTTTTGAACGATGAGGCTCCTTACCGTGCCCTCCGTCCAGGAATTCGGTGAGGTACATGGCGCTGCAAGGGGACCAGGGCTGGCTCTTGTTCAAGTGGATGAAGAGAGGGGCCATCATGTGGTGCTTGCCCAGGGGCCCGAAGAGCCTCTCGCAGGTCTTGGAGTCGTCGTGGGGCATGCTGAGGACATGGCCTGGGGGAGCAGAGAACATGGGTGAGATGCAGCCTCCCAGCCCCTGCTCTGCTGCAGGTGGTGCCGGGGCAGCCGGGACCTTCTCCAAGCAGCTCCTCTTGCTTCAAAAGCTGGTTTGCTTCCATAAATCAGAAGTGACCAAAATAAAATAAAATAAAATAAAATAGTGGTTTCTCTGGTGCTTTGGGAGAGCTGCAGGCAGGGCAAAGCAGCCCAAATTAGCCAGAGCATCTCGAGGAGCAGCAAAGCAAGGTGGAGAAGCTCTGGGTCCCAAGCCTTAGCCCACCACGTCCGTGAAACACATTGATTTACACCCCACCAGGCACCTCCACACACTTTTGCTGGTTCAAACCAGCTTCCAGAAGCTCCCCAGTGGGACCCAGCTGGGAGATGCCGGTGCTGGGCACCGCTGCATCCCTTCCCAGCAATGGGGCTGGCCACTCTGGGCTGAAAAAAAAAAGCAGGACCACCCCACCATCCCCATATCCCCCCTACCCTCAGGAAGAAGGATGAGTTACCCAGTTCATGAGCCAGGGTGTAGGCTGCCTGCAGGCCCTCGTCCTCGATCACCGAGCAGCTCTTGTTGCGGTCGCACATGGTGCCGATGTCCGCCACCCCCAGCGTGTCACAGCTTTGGTGGCCACAGAAGTCCTGAGGAGGGGTAGGACAGGGTCACACTTTTGGTAGCCCCAACATGTGAGGGTGGTGGAGCACTGGAACAGGTTGCCCAGGGAGGTGGTTGAGGCCCCTTCCCTGGCGATATTCAAGGAGAGGCTCGAGGAGGCCCTGGGCAACCTGGTCTAGTTGGGGGTGTCCCTGCTGACTGCGGGGGGGTGGGACTAGATGACCTTTGGAGGTCCCTTCTGGCCTGGGCAATTCTATGATTCTATGAACATCCCCCAGCAGAGCACCTGATGCTCTACACCCCAACCATAACCACCACCACCACCCCATTGCTTTGCTGCAAGCTCTGCGTGGTGGTGGGGATCCCTCCTCTCCCTCCAAGGACACCTCCACCCCTTTCTTCTCCCCCAACCAGAGCATCCCCAAGGGACCCTTCAGACCTGTCTCGTCAGCAGGATGGCAGTGTCGTAGTGCTCCGGGTGGCGGTCGCTGGGGGGGTTGAACCTTTGCTGCCAGCTGCAGAAGTTGCGCAGGGTGAGGCCACCGTTGTCAGACACCTCCGGCCCCACCGCCGCCTCGTCCACCACCAGCACCTTCACCACCACCAGGTTGATGGAGTTCTTCAGGCTGGGGTGCTTGTAGATGCGAGCCGCCATGGACATCAGGGTCAGGACGTGGTTCTGTGGGGGGGACAGAGGCAAAGCCTGGGTGAAACCTTCGTAGGCCACCACCTATTTGCTCTTTTTCTTTCCCTTTTTTCTGAGTATTTGGGGCTGAGCTGCAAAGATATAATCACCCCTTCCCAGGGCAGGGGAAACTGAGGCACAGGGAGGACTGCCACCACCTTTTTGCTCTTTTTCTTTCCCTTTTTTCTGAGTATTTGGGGCTCAGCTGCAGGAGAAGCAATGGAGCCTTTCCAGGGCAGGGGAAACTGAGGCACAGGGAGGACTGCCACCACCTATTTTCTCTTTTTCTTTCCCTTTTTGCTGGGTATTTGGGGCTGAGATGCAGGACTACCTGGAGCCTTATCTTCTCCAGGCTGAACCCCCCCAACTCTCTCAGCCTGTCCTCCAGCCCTCCCAGCATCTCCATGGCCTCCTCTGGCCCCTCTCCAACAGGTCCTTGTCCTTCCTTCACCAGGGGGCTCTATTTCTTGGCTAGAAAAGAAGGAATCAACCTCATTTATGAAGCCTACCACATCCAGACCATCTCAGGCAACCGCCTGGGTCGATGGGCTTTTTTTTCTACACGATGTACACCTTGTGCTGGTGGGAAGGACAACCAGGACAATCCCACCTCCACATCATCCCCTTCGCCAACCATCCTGTCTCACCTTCCACGAACCCTTTGCACCCAGAAACCCTTCGGGGGGAGAAACCTCACGTGTCCCTGCCAGTGCTCTTGCATATTCCCAAGGCATTAACCCTGCCCTGGCTGCAAAACCACCCTCCCGTGGCTCCAGAACAGGCTCCTCAGGGTTTGAACCCGGCGTCCTGGGTGACAAACCAGGGCCAAAGCACTTGGAAGGCCGAGCCTTTGCCCAGCTCAGCTCCTGGGACGACCAAGGATTACTTAATATGTCAAACGCGCCAGCGATGTTTAGGCTGATGTAAACATCTTATCGGGAGCATCGAAAATTCCTCCTCTGCTTGGCACCCGGCCCCGGAGTCAGGAGAGAAAAATGCAGCTATTACACAATACAGTGTTGGGAAAGAGAAAGTGCCTTCTTCTCCTCCTCCTCCTCCCCAGACGGAATGACACCCCGCGGTCTCGCTCCAGGTCTCCACCATCTCATTCAACTGGAAGGACTCGGTGGAAACCCTCCCTGGCATCTGAGCTTCACCCAAAATCCGCGTTTCCCAACGTGGAAAACTCAACGACCTCACCCGTGGAGAGCGACGCGCACAAAAAGCCATTTTCTTAGCAAAGGAGGGAGATATTTGGGGAGATACCCCACCTCCTCTAAGACATTTGTGTCCCCAAGAGCAGCCCCGGGGGTGGTTTTGGCCGTTTTAACTCATTCTGCCCCATTTTATGCTGGCAGCTGGGCGTAGACAGATGTCTCCCTTCAGCGAGACGTATCCCAAGGCTCGTTATCCGAGGGCAAGCCCCGGCAGAAGACGATGGGAGGGCTGAAGGGACGGGTTTATTTAGACTGGCCAGATCTCCGCGACGTGACTCAACGTCCCAGCCCCGAAGAGAGAGCAGCAAATGTCACGGGGAAGCCACCACCAAGGCAAGGAACCCAGATGAGATCCCCTCCAGTGAGGAGGCTCCTGGGCAAAATCCATTGGGAAGCCTCCTAAAAAACCATCACAAAGCCCTCCTAAAATTACGCAGGTGAAGACCTCGAAGGTGAAGACCTCAGACCTCTGGAGCTGAGCGTGGTGGGATGATCCATCGTTTCCAAGGGAGCAAATCCTGCCTCATCCTTCTCTGAACCATCACAGGCTTCTCTCCATCCCGGTGTTTTTCACCTGGGAGCTCTCATTCCCTACTGCAAACCCCTTGAGATACCGACCCCCATGTTCCTCAGGGCTACATCCAGCCAAAGAAACTCTTCCAGCAGCAGGAACGGAGGGGCTTGGAGAACATCCACCCGCCTTCCCTTTGCCTGGAGAGCGAGGAGGGAAAACGAATCGAAAAAACAGCTATTTAAGTGCAGATTTAAAAGGTCAAATTCACTTGTTCCACCATCTGGTGTGTATTTACACCCATCCCAACCCGGACCGTACGGGTGTTGGTTGGGTTTTGGGATGGACGCTCCGGGGAGAGGAGCAATCCCACCTGCACCACCTTGGCTCGGCCAAGGGGCTTGGAGCTGGGGCCAGAAGCAAATTTTGGGATCCCCAGGGCTCAGGAAATGCTGACTGAGCACTTTTGACCAACGGCCGGCTGCGGATGAGTTGAATCCTGCTCGTCCCGACCTCCCTGTGCCTTTGTAAACGGGCTCTGGCTTGAGGAGCTGCCTTCTCCAGGGTTTCCTTCCCAGCATCAAGGCTGAGGATGCGGGTACTGGGATCAGATGCCCCAAGGAGTCAGGTTTTGGGGAGCTCAGGGGAGTAAATAAACTGGTTTTTACCTCCTTGCAAAGCACCGCAGCTCAGTGGGTACAAGGCTCCCCCCTGCCATTCCCAACCAGCATCCCTGGCAGGATTTCTATCCAACTGGTGAATACAGCTTGGAAAACCAGTCCCTCACCTGCTCTGGGTGGAGAGGACACCACCCCAAGCCTGAGAGAACCTCTGGAGCATCCCTCCTCTACCCCACAACAGCCAGGCACGAGCATCGCAGCAGGGGCTTCCTACTGCCCTTTGATGCCCCCCAAAAACCTCCCACCTCTTTTTTTCCCTTCTTCTGCTCTCGATAAGATCAAATCCCACCATTTAGCCCCCCAAAAAATGAGGAGGGGATGCCTTTTGTCCAGCACAGCAGCTCCGACAGCCCTCCTGCCTGGGAGAGCCCGAAGCCAGGCACCCACGGGTACCACCAGCACCACAAACAGCCCTCCCAGTCGACCTGGGGCTGTAGATTCAGGGGGTTTGTTTTCTTTTTTTTCCTTCATAGAGTTGTTGGCGTTGGGTTTGTTTTTTTGGCTTTTTCTCCCCCCCTTTCTTTTCTCCCGACAAGGCAGCGCTGAGATTTCTGGAGCGCGGACAGATGGAAGGGAGCGAACGCGGGGTCAGATGCGAGGGCTTTGAGAAAACAACTGCTAAAAACATATCCCAGCCTGTGTCTGTCTCTTTCTCCCCCCCCAAAAAGCCATGTCAGAGTGCTGGCCCCCTGGCTCGGACCCCCACAGCGGCCGCTCTGCCAGCCTCCCCCTGCAGGGCCAAGAATTTCCTTGCCAAAAAAATGGGAGCAGCAGCCAAGAGAAATGGGAGGTGAGGGAGACACTTGGGGGGCACCCTCCTGCCTCCCCCAGCCCTTTTCTGGTTGTCACTTGACTTATTTTTCCTCCCTTCTCTTCCCCTTTTTGTTGGCCATTTGGGGCTGAGCTGCAGGAGAAGCAATGATGCCTTTTCAGGGCAGGGGAAACTGAGGCACGAGGAGAACTGCCACCACCTATTTGCTCTTTTTCTTTCCCTTTTTTCTGAGTATTTGGGGCTGAGCTGCAAAGATATAATCACCCCTTCCCAGGGCAGGGGAAACTGAGGCACAGGGAGGACTGCCACCACCTTTTTGCTCTTTTTCTTTCCCTTTTTTCTGAGTATTTGGGGCTCAGCTGCAGGAGAAGCAATGGAGCCTTTCCAGGGCAGGGGAAACTGAGGCACAGGGAGGACTGCCACCACCTATTTTCTCTTTTTCTTTCCCTTTTTGCTGGGTATTTGGGGCTGAGATGCAGGAGAAACAACGATCCCTTTTCAGGGCAGGGGAAACTGAGGCACAAGAAGGACTGTCATCACCTATTTGCTTTTATCTTTCCCTTTTGGCTGGGTATTTGGGGCTGAGCTGCAGGAGAAGCAATGATCCCTTTTCAGGGTAAGAGAAACTGAGGCACAAGGAGAACTGCCACCACAGACCCCCATGTTCCTCAGGGCTACATCCAGCCAAAGAAACTCTTCCAGCAGCAGGAACGGAGGGGCTTGGAGAACATCCACCCGCCTTCCCTTCGCCTGGAGAGCGAGGAGGGAAAACGAATCGAAAAAACAGCTATTTAAGTGCAGATTTAAAAGGTCAAATTCACTTGTTCCACCATCTGGTGTGTATTTACACCCGTCCCAACCCGGACCGTGCGGGTGTTGGTTGGGTTTTGGGATGGACGCTCCGGGGAGAGGAGCAATCCCACCTGCACCACCTTGGCTCGGCCAAGGGGCTTGGAGCTGGGGCCAGAAGCAAATTTTGGGATCCCCAGGGCTCAGGAAATGCTGACTGAGCACTTTTGACCAACGGCCGGCTGCGGATGAGTTGAATCCTGCTCGTCCCGACCTCCCTTGGAGCCGAGCTGCAGGGGAAGCAATCACCCCTTCCCAGACCGTGCCTTTGTAAACGGGCTCTGGCTTGAGGAGCTGCCTTCTCCAGGGTTTCCTTCCCAGCATCAAGGCTGAGGATGCGGGTACTGGGATCAGATGCCCCAAGGAGTCAGGTTTTGGGGAGCCCAGGGGTGTAAATAAACTGGTTTCTACCTCCTTGCAAGGCACCACAGCTCAGCGGGTACAAAGCTCCCCCCTGCCATTCCCAACCAGCATCCTGGGAGACCTCTGCCACCACCTATTTTCTCTTTTTCTTTCCCTTTTTGCTGGGTATTTGGGGCTCAGCTGCAATACAAGGCTCCCCCCTGCCATTCCCAACCAGCATCCCTGGCAGGATTTCTATCCAACTGGTGAATACAGCTTGGAAAACCAGTCCCTCACCTGCTCTGGGTGGAGAGGACACCACCCCAAGCCTGAGAGAACCTCTGGAGCATCCCTCCTCTACCCCACAACAGCCAGGCACGAGCATCGCAGCAGGGGCTTCCTACTCCCCCTTGATGCCCCGCTGCAGGGGAAGCAACGATCCCTTTCCAGGGCAGGGGAAACTGAGGCACAAGAAGGAATGCCCCCACCACTTTGCTTTTATCTTTCCCTTTTTTCTGAGTATTTGGGGCTGAGCTGCAAGTGATATAATCACCCCTTTCTAGGGCAGGGGAAACTGAGGCACGAGGAGAACTGCCACCACCTATTTGCTTTTAGCAGGGGCT